CAAATAACCAGCATATGAACCCCATGTCGGATCTGCAAACATAGACCCATAATATCCTCCATGAGGGGTCATATAACTCTGTGACGGTGGTGGCGATGGCGTTTGGTAAGGGAAAGGTGGTGGCGGCATCATATATGGTTGTGGCATGTAAGTCGCTGTAGACGATGGTTGTTGTGAAGGTCCTGGTGGTGCAGCTGAGGACGAACCAGAAGTACCTGCTCTTCATCCATGAGTCAGGGGACAATGGGGTTGTGATGGTGCACGTCTCTGTCGACGTCAATGAATGCTCCGTCCTCGTGCATCCTCGGAAAGCAGAAATGGTTTCCCATTGATGTTGAACCACTTATAATAATCATATGCAACCATCAAGTCATCAACATAAATGGGTTCCCTATGGGGAAGGCACTACTGTCGAGCCTCCCATATAATGACCCACTCATGATGTTTCACCAGCCAATTTGTATCCGCCTTGTCGCGTCGATCTGTGCTATGCAACTCGTACATATTGTGAGGTGCTTCCGGAATTAGTTGTACAAAACCAAATTAAAGGAGCACGCGATCAGTAGGGTGCCACTCGACGATCGCATAACAGATCAGAGGGACCACCACCATCCAAACATCTGATGGGCCCCTCATCTCAGGTGGGATGCACATCCTCACATCATCATTAGAATATGAAACCCATTCAAACTAAAATAAATATATATAATTCTTATCAAAATAATAATCTAATTATATAACTATAATACAAAATCGATTTTTAAACATTAAAATGAAACCTCTGTGCCAGCCTTCTGATCAATTAGCAGCATGATTATTTCTAATTCATCAGGTAGATCCCGATGATTTTTCCTGTCAATAGACCACCTATTCAAGGGAAAAAATTATTATATACTGGATAAAATGATTAATATACAAAATCAGTTTTGTAATTACCTTAATAGTAGTGGAAATACAAACGAGTTCTTCACAACAGGACATAAAAAGAGCAACCGATACCATGCCCAAGACTGCAGTAAAAGGAGACATCTGCCGATAGCATTTTTCCTGTAGTCAGTCGTTCGACACATCTCCCTATACAAGAATGCCAAAACTACCGAGCCCCAACTCAGTGATCCAGCCACATGAAAGTCGCCAAGATGTCGCAACCACATACAGTGAACTTGGTTGCGCGATTTGTCTGGCATCAGCAACCCTCCTATCAGCTGCAGTATGCATGCCTGTGCATACATTTTAACTTGATCATCTGAGGCGTCCTCACTCAAATTCCGAAAATTTGCATCTAACCAATTTAACGGTATCCGACCACCGTTAAAATTTCACGGCACACCTCCTAGATAATCCTGACACAAAGTAGTCCAATTACCGTGCGCCATCCCTGAAATCATATCTCCATCCACCGGAAGCCCCAAGTGCATAGAAACATTCTCAAGCGTAATCGTGCACTCTCTGCACGAAAGATGGAATGTGTGGGTCTCCGGCCTCCACCGCTCCACTAATGCAGAAATAAGGTTTGGTTCTATCTTACAATGGCATTCATATCTAGCTATGTGACCGAATCCAGCATCGACTAAATACAACCAGAAACGAGTAGATATCGCTAACTTAAGGTTCCTAATAAAATGATCTAATATACAGTCATTCTCCTAAAATATTAATAATTACAAAAATTAATTTATAAACTAATAATCATGCATTAAATAAATAAAATATTACTAATAATTTAAATTAAATTAAAATGTAAAAATGTTACCGTATCAGCATAATGGCTCAATATATTATTTCCATCTAAACGAAGCAGACCACCTTCCATTTTATAACTACAAAAAAATTAATTAAATAAAATATTAAAATAATTAAATAATTAAATAAAATAATAAAATATACCTTAAGTTGGGAGGATTTGAGAGAAGTTGAGATGATTTAAGAGGATTTGGTATGGTGAAAATGATTGAAAATGGAGGATTTATGGGGGTGAGAAAGTGGTGTGAATGGTATGAAATTAAAGCAAAGGCACGACCCTTGCACCGTGCCTTTTTGACGCGTGTCAAAATTAAAGCAAAGGTGCGACCCATGCACCGCGCTATACACCTACGTGGCAGAAGATGCGGCCCCTGCACCACGCCTTATCCAACGTGTTTCCATGTCAGCATAAGGCGCGGTGCATGGGTCGTGCCTTAGCTCACGTGGCGCCACATCAGCGTAAGGCGCGATGCAGGGGCCGCGCCTTCCTACAAATGATGTTAATCGGGAAATAAAATCTAAATAGTGTCTGACAGAGAAGTAATGATTATAAGAGTGATTTTTCGAAAAATTCGTTGAAATGAGAGAGTGGTGGGGTAAAGATGAGGTGTTGCTCACTTTGCAATCACTTTTTTCTTCAATAATCTTATGGGCATTATCAAATTATCTCCAAAACTTAGACTACGCTCGTTTTACCTAAAATATTTTTTAGAAAATATTTTCTTCATTTTCATGTGTTTGGTTATAGATAAACTGGTTAAGTAATGTAAAATATTTTTTCTAATTAACAGAATTTTTTTACATGTTCTGAAAAATAACTTATAGTTTAATTTTCTGGAAATTATTTTTCAAAATTTACACTTCAAAAAATAAATTTTCACTTCCATTTTAGTAGTAGTGAAAAGTGCATTAAAATGCACATCTTGTTTTAACATAATGCATCCATAAAGTAAATTCTACATTAGTTAAATGCAAGTATGGAGCGCACGAGCGGTTAGATCAGTCGTTCTCTTAAAAAAATTATTTTATAAATTTAAAGAAGAAAAAATAGATTTTTAATTAAAAAATATAAAAAATAATAATTTAAGATTTTCAGGACCGCCACCTCCGGCGGACACTCAATCGTGGAAAGAAGTTGCAGGCTGATGATCCCATGAGAAATTCAACCTTGGAATTTCGTATTCATTTATATTCATCAACAGGATGCATATAGTTTTATTTCCCAATAAAATAAACAAAACCCTTACACGGTCAAATCCTGGATTTCATTTTCATGTGGCCACATCATCGGAAGCAGTGGAATGAATTTGATTAGAAATCCTGATTTCCCCTACCATTATGGGAAGAAAATCCAACCCAAATCTCCCTCTTCTTGCCTATCTCTTCATCATCATCAACAGGCATCTTGTACCTGCAAACAAGGCATCTGCTTCGCAGTTTGATCACTCGGCTTCCACTTCTCCAAGCAAACCACACACTCTCCTCTTCACTGATCTCGACAGTGCTCGGCACGGTTTCCATGGAAGCCTTGGAAGCGGGCGGGTGACCGTCTTTGTTCCCCGCCCGCGTAGAAAAGCGTTCGAATTTGAAGCTCCTTCCATCACCACCAATGCTTGAGTGAAGGGGTTCACGAGGATTATTCTTTCACGTTGTGGACTTGTTTCTTGATTTGGATCGTGTTCAGTGTTCTGTCTTGAAACATCATCGTTGTATCCGGTGGTGGTGTTGTTATAGAATCTAAAGATAAAGGGTAGAAACAGATGAGACATGATGAGAAGAAGTTTGAGAAAGAAGGGAACTTGAAAATAAATGACGAGATATTGGTGGAGAAGTTCTGAAACCCTTAGTCCCTTACAATAACAAGTTGAGTGAGATAAGAGTTTGCAAATGGGAATCCTTTTTTTTGGGGAGCGAATTAATTTTTTTTTAAAATAATCATAATCAATATTAAATTTTAATTTTATTTTAATCAACTATCGTTAATAAATAAATAAAACTGATATGTGTTATTATTTTTCAATAATGATATAACATTATTTTATTGTGACATGTCAACATTAATGTTAATTTTTTAACAACTGTTAATTAAAACAGAGTCAAAACGTAAAATTAAGTATAATTTAAAAAAAAAGTTAATTAGCAAAACGAAAAAAACAAAAAAAGATAGATGCCTGAATATGGAATTTACCCTAGTATTTGTTTCTTTTTCAATTTTAATGTTGTTTATCATTCCAAATTAAAACCAAAGGAAAGTTATTTTCAGTTCGAGTAGATTTGGATGTTGATAACGTGCAGATATCAACTATGTTTTAATTCCACGTGTCTTGTTATCTGAATTGTTTTTGATATTTTTATTTTATTAATTTGAGATAAATATAAGATAATATGTGTTAAAATATTTTTTTAATTATTTGATATAAAATACTCACATATTGATATTTTTTATTTTAATTTTGATGGAAAATTCTGTCGTACGACAGTTTAATATACAACTAATGAAAAACGTTACAGAAAATGTTATCATTTTTTTAATATTTTCGGTAAAAAAATTATCTAAAATATTATTATTTTACTTAAATTAATGTTTTTTAACAATTCTGATAAAGTATCAAATACTAATTTTCGGTAGAAAAAATAATATTTTAAGTAGCGTTTTACCAAATATGTTAACATACCCGTAAAACGCTCAATAATAACATTTTTCGGTAAAAATAATAATTTTTTAAAATTTTTTATAAAAAATATTTAAAAAATAACATTTTCGATAACATTTTTATTTAACCGTATATTAGACTGTCACACATAAATCTTCCTAATTTTGAGACATTAAAAAATAGCAACATTATTTTTCGGTATCTAATTTTTTTTCTTTCCCAAAACGGGACGCTGTACTTTTTTCAGAAGCATTTTTAATTTAACCTAATTTGAACATATTTTACATAAAAGGCCAGCAAAAAAGTTCGCTTTTTCAGAAAGGTTTGATTTTTTTCCCTGATTCTTCTGGAATGATTCGAGTTATGCTTATAGTATAGTAATATCCAATCAGGCAATAGTTTTTGATTGGATATTACTTTGTGGGTTAAATCTAAAAAGCTGTATAAGTGAAGGATTGTATAGTGGTAAACATCATGAGCTCTACCTGTTTGTTGAAATGCGTAGCTGAAGCCTAGAACGTGATATAATTTGCAGTAACTTGCTTGTCAAAAGTTCCTCCATGGGAATTCTTTTTGTTCTTTTATAACCTGTTTACTTATATTTGCAGGTTTCAATCAGTTTCTCATTTGCTCCTGGGGAATCTACGGGTTTCAATAACTACAAGCAATGGCAGTTGCAAATTTTCCTGCACTAAAGTTTAAAACTTGCGACATTTTTGGTCGATGTTTCAAGTTCCCTCCATTGCAGAACAGAAGTAAGCTTAATCAAGATCCCACTAATTAACTGCTACTACATTTTTTCTTCATTTGGTTTTAAAGACTTGGGACATGTTTTAGAGTGATGTTCTGTAAGCATTGATTTTTCATTTCTGAATTTGAGGTACAGTTTTAAGCTCGGGTAGAATTTAATATAAAATGATTTTCCACAGGTCATTCTGTCAAGACGTTAGTAGTTGAAGCAAAGGCAAACACCAGAACAGAAAGCGCTAAAATTAGGAACCGAAGAATGCTAAAGAAGGTATGCTTTCTTGTTGAGAAAATGTGCATTGTATAATTATGAGATGTAATTCTCATAAGGCCTTCTAAATACATAAATATGTCCATGTCCGAAACTTAACGCCCATGTTCGAGGGACAAGCATGCATTTATCGGTTGTCTGTTTATCAGTTGTATGTCTACAATGTTATTTCCAGTTTAATGGCACCCCGAGAAGGCCGAGGCTGTCGGTATTCTGTTCGGAAAAGCAGTTATATGCCATGTTGATGGATGACAAAACAAGAAGTGTCTATTCTATGGAAGCACGCTGCAGAAGTCGATTCGCGACGATCCTGCTTGCACCACCATTGTAAGTACTTCATAGGGTCTTTGGAAGTCTTGAATATTTCTTGCTTGTAGACGAAAGTTGCGGGTTAATGCCTGTATTTTCAGGAAGCTGCTAAACGTGTTGGTGAAGAGCTGGTAAAGGCCTGTGTTGATCTTAACATAAATGAAATATCATATTATGATCGCAATGGACTTGCGCGCGGTGAAAGAATGCAAGCCTTCGAAATTTCTATTGCAAGTTTCGGTTTCTTGCCTCGATAGAAATTTATCAAATGAGTTTAAACCTTGGTTTTTCAGTATCCGACGTGGGCTCTGAGCTAACAATTTGGGAGGTTTATCAAATGTTAAACCCTTTATCAGATTGATGCATTGTTCAACTACAACTTCAGTCTTATTTTTATCATCTCAGCTGAGTGTAATTACTTCATTTTAAGGATTACGATTTACTTCGATGATACCAAAGTGCTTAAGTGAAACAATCAGGTCGGTGTCTTTCCTGCGTAGACTTATGTTTCGGGATTTAGATGATTCCAGGCTTACGCCATCACCTGAATGTGTCTCTCTTGGTTCGGACAAGTGGTCTCTCACATATGATGGACCTTTTCGCTGTGTAACTCGATTGCTACATGTGTTGCGAAAATGGTACTCCATATGTTAGAGGCTCTTGGTTCAAACCAATGGAGGGAACCATCAGATGGCAAATCCTCCATGTATTTTGAAGTATATCTTCTCGTATGTCGAACACTAGTCGGAAAATCACATACTTGAGAAAAAAAACAAAGATTTTAAGAAATATTGATGTACATCAGATTATACTTGGGTAGAACCTGTAAATTCCTGCTTTTACGGCGTCTCTATACAAGGTATCAATCTACCATTTTCTAATCAATCATGCTGACCACTATGTACGCCCTACACAAATATCTCATTATACAATAATATATTCACTAACCTCATCCGCCTACTATCAAAATAGCTTTAAAAGAATAAAAGAAACAAAAAGACAACCAAAACACCTTGGCTTACTCCGAATTTTCCCGACCCGGATCAATCAAACCAGCAATGACCAATTGGTTCCCTCATCTATTTCTAGTCATGTTAGCACCGGGAAAGTGCTGGTTGTGAAATGTTGTTGATATTTGTTCGTCAAAGAATCTAATAAAAACCATTGCATACCTTTTAAGTCTCCGCCTATGCTTGTAGATTGCCGCAGCATCTAGCTCTTTTTGTCTCCTGGAGTTTCTGCCATAAACACATCATCTCTTGGATCTTGATAGTGAGCAATGACATAACCATCCTTGCAACCTTCATTAAAGATCCTCCCTTCGTTTTCATACAGGACTTCTAAACGTCTTTCTGCATATCCACAATCCAAATACCCATTGCCACATCTTCAAGCTTAAACATCTGTTGTTTACGTGATATTTGTTTAACATTGAGAATTATTATCCACACAGGGAATGAATGAAGAAAACCTATTCCAATATTTTCCCATGCTTGCTTATATAGTGGCTACTGACTTGTATGTTTTGCATAAACCAAAACAACAAAATAAGAGAAGAGTCAAAATTTTCAGTGTACCCTTAAGTGTACTTCATTGAACCTCTTGTAACCAGCCCTTGCTATGTCGTGCTACACCACTTAACCAGGACCATGTGCCCAAGGTGGGTACCTATGTTCGGACCATTCCTTCATTGAACACATGACAGCAAAAACCTAGTTAGCAGCAGAAAACAATTTTTATCCCATTACGGTTAAATAATGGTGATTTGTCGCTAACAATGATTGGAAGTCCTTATGCAGCTACAATAATATTCAAAAAACTAAAGCATCGAGTGACAATAAAGGTGAGCTATGTGTGAACTACTGTGAAAAGGAAAGGCTGCTCTTGTTTCCCCCCCCCCCCCCCCTTTTTGCTGATCCCAACTAATGTTGCTTTTATGAACAGGATTGCAAGATGTAAAATGGTTTGATTGAGAAAAGAAAAACATGAAGATAATCCAAATTAACAAAAGCTAGCATAGTTCTTCATTCGATCATTGCTCATATCAAGAAAAAATTTATAGCTTATGCTTCCCTATCCACTGAATAGTTATTTGAGGAAATTGAGAGAAGAAGTACCTCGGGGCTAATATACCACTTGCTATCTGTTCTGCGACGAGGTTGGGAATCTGAGTTAATGAGTCCATAAAGCAATCCACGAGTCACGTTTATCCTGCTTAATGAAGCCATTACTTCATCCAAACGAACGAATGCATCATCATCAGTCTTCATGACAAACTTTGCAGAAACAACTTCTGTCTGTAGAAGAGCAGAACTCTATAAGAAAATGAAGAATTTTGCCAATTGAAACAAATGGATTGAGACTTTACCCCAAACATGCAAATAGACAAAGTTTTCCAAGTGATCAGGCTGTAGTAATCAACAAAAGAAATCAGCTGTATGTCAACGTAAGTTCGTGCTTCATTCCAGAGTTCATCATTCACTATATGGTTTTTATGCTGCAGAACATCTCAAACTCGGTAAGTGATTATGTAAGCCTCACACCTATAACACTTAAAACCACAAACTCAAAACTAGTTTCAAGAGAGATATCACACAGATTTTGGCACCAAAACTTCCAACTATCTCACCATTCTATGATTTAACAACATAAGATTGTCATTCACCATTGGGGGCACAACTTATTACTATAAAGCATTGTAATCTATCTATTGGTACAACTGTGGTCTAAAAAACAGAGAACATGACGAATATTGTCCCAGCTGGAGACCTCTAACAGCAGTTAATGATTCTGGAGAAAAACTATAAGCAATCTAGAGGTGCAACAATGGTTTGAAAACATGATCAAGATTCAAGAACCATATTTATGAACCATAGAATTTGTGGCAAGAACATCTCAACTATGTACTGCATGAAGAGGATGATTCCCTTTACTATGATAGAACTAGAACCAATGCATTCAAATTATAGCTATTCTGAGTGAGAGAAATTCACAAGAAAACCGCACTACGACTGTTCCGGATCGAACTTCAGGATACTGCATCCAAGTTCTTCTCACAGCCATTCTTCTTTTAAAATTATTGGCAGTAGAGAACACACCAATAAAGAGATCGACTGGTCTTTGAAGAGAAAGATGAACTGATTTAAGTGCTTCTATATCAACAGTATGATCTGAATCCTCTGAAGTTGGTAAACCACTGGCAAGCACAGAGATTAATTTCACATCTCCAGAAATTCTAACCTCACTAGCAAGCCATGGCTCCAACGTCTGAACATAAGAGCAGAAAACACACATTAAGCTTAATGAACCTATTCATTATTAAACAAATTCTACAAGGGAAATTTCAGAAATTACTTCTCGATAAGCGAAGGATTTTATGTGCTTCCCATCAACTGTCATCTGTATTCCCTCCGATCCTACTCTAAGCGTTGCAATGAAAAGAGAACCTTGCTTAAAAGGAAAATATCTTCTGGATTTAATCCCTCGCAGCCCCATTGAAGGCACCCTTGAACCATGGTAATGCACTTTAACTGTCTGGTTATCATCTTTACCCACGAACTTATTGCATTGGTCCAACTCATCCACTGGAGAAATAAAATAAGTTGAGAGTTACCTCAAAGGAATTATAGATACATTTACATATGCCTCATGGATGCAAACAATTAAAAGAAAGAAAAAAGGAAACGATTAGAAATTTAAATGAGGTGAGAAGATTCTATTTCAATGCACATAATGAAGGTGAAGCATTTTTGTAGCTAGCTATTAACTGATTTCATTAAGTAGAGTTCCATGTTAGACAAAGCCTGAAGACAATAGGATGAAGAACCTTTTCCGACTCCTTTAATGATAGAAAAAAGAGATGACAAACTACATGGACCTTAGTTCAACATAAAACAAGAGAAAGATCCTAACTTTTTTGCACTAAAAGTATCGAAAGGATGCAACGAGTCTTTGTACCTTTATTATTCTTTTCAGAAGTTTCTGCTGGACATCGTTCCTCTTCACCCCAATCATGAGCTAGGGTCCAGGTGTTTTGCACAATAACCGGGTCCTCAGTTATCTTATCCCCATGAAGTCTAACATTGTAATGCAAAATTATTGGTGGATCAGGCTCCCCTGGAAGTGTTTCCCCTGTTAAATCAATGTGAAAATCACCAAGAACACCATTTGTAACGCCAATGATTGTAATGGAAGAACCTTGAGTGAGACCACAGGGAACTCTCAACTTGTAGTGACTCTCAGGTTCTGTAGCATTCATTTTATTAATAAACTGCGAACTCTGCTCTTTTGATCTTCCAGATGAATTATCATTCCGATAACCAAGTTTTCTTATCCCCATGAAGTCTAACATTGTAATGCAAAATTATTGGTGGATCAGGCTCCCCTGGAAGTGTTTCCCCTGTTAAATCAATGCGAAAATCACCAAGAACACCATTTGTAACGCCAATGATTGTAATGGAAGAACCTTGAGTGAGACCACAGGGAACTCTCAACTTGTAGTGACTCTCAGGTTCTGTAGCATTCATTTTATTAATAAACTGCGAACACTGCTCTTTTGATCTTCCAGATGAATTATCATTCCGATAACCAAGTTTTTCCTCTTCGATTGAAGCCAACAAGCTATTCCATGCACTTCCAGCTTCCTTGATAGCCTCTACCCCCATTTGGCAAAGTATGAGAATGATCAATTAAGTGCTTTAACAAATTCCAGGTGAGCAAAGACTGTTGCTCTCCCTTGGAGAGGTTCCTTTGAGCAAAAAGACTGAAGTCTATGATATCAATGGAAATTAATTGAGAAGAATTTCCTGGATTCTGAAGTCCACGTGGAACAGTAAAACGCATCCATTCAAGTGGATTGGTTCCAACAGAAGAGAAAGAATTCATCAAGTAGCTTTCTTCGACTGGATTTTTCATAAAACCATATCTCAGAAGCAGCAACATAAACAAAGATGCAACTATAGCACCACCATACCATTTCTTCATTCTGCCGATTATACAATCACATCAATGTTTTGCAAACAAGTGGGAATTAAGTACTCAAGTTGATTTATAAAATTATAATTTGTATGCTATGTTACTCGTTCTCCAGTGTAAGTGTTGTACATGGGTATGCATACAGGTATGCTTAGATTTTTCTAAGTTTTTTCATATTTACTTTAAAGGATCCTTGGAGGTTATATCCCCATATCCAAGTGTTGTTGTTATGACCCTGCGAGAGAAAAAGAGTAATCGAAGAAAATAGAGGAAAAAGATATTAAAGAAGAGAAGGGGATCCAAGAAAACTGAGATTTCATTCATTTCAGTCATAAGGTAAGACCTACCCAGTACATTGCTTTATATCTTTACATTGTACCAACCCTATCCCATTTACCAGCTGGCAATACAGTTGTATCTAACATTTTGATTCCCTTGCAGGTGTTGCTGGCGTGACTCCCTTCACTGCTGGTAGTACCAATCTCCTCATTTGAAATCCCCAACCCTATTTCCAATTTCCCCAATTCTCCTCCGTCTTCTCCTATTTCTGTATCTCTCATGATCATGACAATACCCCCTCCATGAAATGATCCTTATCCCCAAGGATCAAAACCTAATAATTGTGCCTTAAGCACAATATAGTTTACCCCAATGACGTTTTCCAACCTTAAGTTCGTACACTGCAGCTGATTGTACTTCTTCTCCCTATGTTTATCAAACTTCATAGCAATTAGACCTTCAACTGTCCTTTATGTCAAAACTTGAAAGGCTCCAATGAGGTAATGCGTTGATCTCCAGATTCCTTTTTCAACAAACTATCATAATTCACTGTTTAAACCTTCGAGTACTCATATAACAAGTTATACTAACCCCATGCATTGTAAAACGGTGTAGGGACCATAGAACCTTGCTGCCAGCTTTAATCCCATTCAAAGACCAAGTGAGGTTTGAACTTCAGGTAAATTTTGTCCCGACCTTTAGATCTCTGTCTGTCCATTTTGTATTCGCATAAAGCTTCATCCTTCCTTGAGTCTTCTAAGTTTTCGTTTTAGTACCTAATTCTTTCTTTCTAGTGTCTAGAATTTTCTGTACTGATTGAACAATAGATTGTCCACCATTTTCCTTACTCACGGTTGCAGCAATCAACACTGTTATTTTAAATTCCCATAATCTTTTCATGCTATTGGTAGCCACTTCCGAACTGCAACCTTCATATGTTCAACTAGTTAGAATTGTACCAGGGAATCTAATCTCAACATGCTCTTTGACTTCTACTTGATCTTTGCTGCCTTTAGTTGGTTTCCCCTCCTTTTATGGCATTCCCCTTCTTTCAGATGATCCTTGTCCCAAGGATCAAACATTTTCCACTTTACGACTATTTGCATCGCATTTTGTTTTCTAAGAAAGCCTAATATGAGATATATAGTCATTTTGGCACAAGATGCCACATTTCCAGTAACACCACGAGGAATTTGGATAACTTTTATCCCACGCTTTGTATCAACATTGCTGTTATCGTATTTAGTGGAATCAATTGTCACAAGATCCTTCTTTTGTGGTTATATTGATTCATGGAACAAATGTTTGACATCAAAAGGACATTGCTCAATCTTTGCAGGGGTCTTATGCCTTTGTCCAAAAACATAAATCGTATATGATGTTGTACTGTTAGTAGCAAGTTTATCAACTTCAACATTCCCAAACAATTCCTTAAAATCCCAAACTCCTGAACTTTTGAAAAAGAAATTGTTCCATGATAAAGTCTTGTGAAGATCATACTTAGGCTCAAAACCATCAGTCTTTATTCCTTCTTCATGTTGCTTTAGCTCATCTTTCGAAGTTGTAATTAACCTTAAGACATAAGCACTAAGTTTCTGTGGTGCTAAAAGATAGGTGATCATGTTCCTACTAAGCTTCAGTATAGTGACACTAGAGATTTTTAGCTTACCACCTTCATCAGCATTAAATGTAGGCATCAAAGTAAGATGAAGATAATCAAGAATTATAACGTCAGGAAAGCCACTCCAAATGGTTACAGATAATGTACCAGGATCCCCATCAACTAACTCCAAAGGAGGCCTCGAATTTCCAGAATAGTAATTAAAGATGATACCTCAAGTAGGAATAGGTGTTTCATTTCATTATGAGCAAGATTCACAATTTTTGTTTGAAAAACCATTGTTCCTTATGGGAGAAAAAGTCTTTACCTTGCTTAAAGTAGACTGCTGTAGTTTCACCATCAAGGACAATTCCATGTCTTTTCCACCAAGAACGATGATAATTGACAGCAACAAAATTTTCAGCAAGCGTCATGGGTTGATTGATCAAGCCCTCAAAATTTCCAGCAGTTGAGTCAGTATGAGATGTCGAATTTGCTTGTGCTTTCCTTGATAGGGTTGTTGTTGATGATATAGGTGCCGATGATCCATCAAAAGAATGTATGCCACCATGATTCAATCTACGTTTATCCAGAAGTTGTGAATTTAAGTTGCTGACTCGCACTAACTATAACATAGGGTGGCATCTCTTCAGTCCCAATTTCAAGTACAAATGATCTTGGATCATGGTGTACATTTCTCAATTGATGATGATTTATCCTCCATCCCGTATCATAGTAAGTGGCAATTTTCTTTCCCCATTCTTCTAGAATCTTCATTCCATCAGTCTTAGGACGGATAGGAGTACTTACCTGAGCATTCTCTGAAATGGTTTGCTCTTGTTCCTCGACGTCCACTAGATTTTCTCACGAAATCAATTTGCAAAACCAAATCAGATTATTGTTTTGTTGTAGTCGTGAATCAGCTTTCATGGTTTCGGTGATGGATGGAATTGCATTAAATATTCTTGTTGGCATTTTATCAAACACTTGATACTCAGCATTTGTGCCTTCTACTGCCACCAGTAACATCTGTTCAGTTTCAGGGCTTGGTGGTACTATATCATCTGTCTTTCCTGTCAAGTCCCTTATAATTTGCTCCAAACGACCCTTATTCATTGCAATCCTTGTCTCCAGGTATTGATCTTGTTTCACTAGCTTTGATAAGTCTTCAATCTGTTGTTAAATCGCAGAAAAAACAGAGGATTCAACCATTGTTTTGCCAAGAGTTGTGGCTCTAGATACCAATTGTTATGACCCTGCGAGAGAAGAAGAGTAATCGAAGAAAATAGAGGAAATGGAGATTAAAGAAAAAGGAAGGGGATTCAAGAAAACTGAGATTTCATTCATTTCAATCATAAGGTAAGACCTGCCCAGTACATTGCTTTATATCTTTACATTGTACCAACCCTATCCCATTTACCAGTTGGCAATACAGTTGTATCTAACATTTTGATTCCCTTGCAGGTGTTGTTGGGTGCTATTGACATGACTCCCTTCACTGCTGGCAGTACCAATCTCCTCATTTGAAATCCCTAACCCTATTTCCAATTTCCCCAATTCTCCTTCGTCTTCTCCGATTTTTGTATCCCTCATGATCATGACAGTTGTACACGAGTGTAGGATGGGTACTTCACGAAAAATGAAGAGTTCGGGCAACATAATCGACGGTAAGTCAAGTTGATAATGAAGAGTTAAAATATGGGTGCACTTTGGACAGACAGTCAACAGTCTATGATTAAATGCTGAAGGATCATTTTACCTCTTCAAATGGGGTTTCAACTTTCATTTTCAACCTGCTGTCAAGCATCACCTTTTGGCTTGACATATAAAAGCTCGAGACTTCTGCAACCATGAAGCAATTTCATGAAATACTCAGTCATGCATCATGCATAAGATTGTCACACTGTGACAGAAAATGAAACCAATTAGTCAAATAGAAAATGCATCAAAATTTGGCACTAAAAATAAGTTACACATCCATAATTCTAATAAAAGGAGAAACATTCCAACAGAACAAGTACACAACTCCAAAGAATATAAACCAAATCAAACCGAAGACCTAGCCGTCTATTTTTTCTGCTTACAGTAAACCTATTCAAAGTTGATAAGCTATACTAAGTTCATCCCGAGATAAGAGTTATCCATTTCATAAATATCAGTATCACCATTATAATTTATAAAACACTAAACTAACATTTCCCCAAGCAATCAATAATTAATTCGCAACAGTCACCATAGATAACCAAGAAGTTCAAGTCAATTGTACAAAGCTGTGTCACCCCAATAGCTCTTTTGGAGGGAGTTGTTGAACTTACCCTTTCAGTGTATATATTATATTCATGTTGACTGAAACAAACAAGAAACTTTAGCCATATAAAATTATATAAAATAACTTGTTGATGAGAACAGAGTTGTCTCGTCTCATCAAAATAACTAAATGAAACTACAGAAAACGGGAAGAACTTCAAACTTCAAACAATAAATTATTTCTTGTTATAAAGCTTTGATTCTGCCCCAGAAAATCATTACATTGAAAATGTTTTTTTTTTAAATTGAAACTATAGATTTGAATTTTATTCTCATTTTACATCAAAAGTCTTAAAATCGTTTTCTTTACATAACAAAAAATGTCATTGCAGTATCAGAATTAGCTTTGGCAGCGGAAAACGTAAAACATAAATAAATTGAAAATAAAGAGGCATCACTCATTACAGCTATGATTGGTAGGCGAGAAAATGTAGGAAACGAAAGAGAAAGTTAAATAGAAATGAAATTCCGAATTTTCCGTAATACAAATCTCGGATTCAACTGTATAATCTTTTTTCCCAGCGCGAACTTAGCTCAATTATTCCCTAACTTCAATTTAAACAAGTTCCATACTCTAAAATATCCATAGAGAAAAAATGAATTCGAAATTTCAGTTTCCCCCTCTTCTAATTACCTCATGTTTCCCTGAAACCAAACTAAAACAATAAACTGCAACAAATCACGGCCAAAAAAGAGTTTCAAGACAGATCCAGATGCATTGAACTAAATCTGAACTAACAATGCAGACGCGAAAATCAAAAGCGAAAACTGAGTAAAATAACTAGAGTAAAAGCATTTCTGAACTAAAAATTTTCAAAACAACAAGAAGAAGACTGAAGTAAAATGGACGGCAATGAGCAAAAATGAAGAAGAAAACTTACTGACTCCGGCGACATCAAATACTGAAGCTTAGCGGCGAAGAGAGAAATCGCGTAGAGAATTTGAAGATAAAGCTTTTGGGAACAGCGTTTGGATCTCTGTCGTTTTGGACTTTGTTTTCTGAACTTCGAAGTCGTTTAAAGCACAACGGTGGGAAATAAAACCGTTTCCGGTCTTCCCAAGTAAAGGAAACAACAGAGATTTCGAATTTTGTTGAATGACTTGTCATGTCATTTTATTTTTATTTTCTTTCAAATTAATATAAAGCACAATCTCATTAAATTTATACATAAAATAAGTTTACGCAAACACAAAAAACAAAGTTGTTACTTGCATCAACATAGTGATTTTAATAGTAAAAAAGTTATCGTTACGAGCATTAATATCAAATAATTAAGAGTTACATTTAAATAAATATTATATTATATTTATATAAGATAATAAAAAGAAAAAAAAACAAAGTTGCTACTTCTGTCAATAAAACAAAGTTGCTACAACAATAAGCAAAAAAACATGTTTATTAGATATAAAAAATTATTTATAAAAAATGTTAACCCTTGAATTAAAATTGTCGCGCGCATAGGTGAACTAAATTTGATACGTAAATTGTGCAAGTATACATGTCGAACAAGTAATAAAGTGATAAGTGAGTATAGTTCTCACAAGGACCAGAGGAAATTGCAAGTTAAATTATAGCACTAGTATAAATTGTCTAAGTATAGTTAGTATGATGGTATGAACAGATGATTATGTTGTGGCAAGATGAAATGTATGGAGGTGGAATCTCAATGGTAGTGTGGATGAGTAGCAAATGGAAATGTTATGGAAGAATAAATTGTATACAACGCAACCAATTGAAAATGCCAAGTCAAATTTAATTGAGAATCGGGAAATGAGTAAGATAGCTTGTGTAACACCCCCAACCCGTACTCGAATCGGATACGAATTCGAGGTGTCACATTAACTTTTCAAAACATTTACTTTTACAAAAGAATGAAAATTTTAACTTTTATTAAATCAAAGTGCATAATACAATTTCAATCAAAGAGTTTACAAAACTTATCAGAGTGGATACAATTCAAATCTTTTATTTACATGTCAACTACTTTCCTTATAACAAAATACATACTATTTGTATACTTTTCTGATATGATCTTTATAAAGGAGAAGCTGACCTGACTTGCCTATCATTGCTTTGCTCCTCTTCTTGCTTCTCAGAACCTACGTGTGAAACACTCACATACTAAGTCGATGACTTAGTGAGGCATTTAAACTTATAATGGAAACTCTAACTACTTAACAATGCATGAACATTCATACAATGATATCACACAAAACAATATAACATTTCATATAGCCATATATATATATATATATATATATATATATATATATATATATATATAATATATATATATATATATATGCATATTTTGCCATTATCATCATTAACCTCATTTCATTATCGATATTGTATTCATTCATATCTTTTAGTCATATATTCTTGTACCTAACATTCTTAACTATCATATGACTCATTTAACCAAACAATATTCACAATATCATATAATTCCTATAATACTTTTCATATCACAAAACATATGCATCACATACAATGTATTTATTATTATCTCTTTATTAGCTCATGTATACTTCTGAGAACTAAAGATATGTGAGTACATTGAGGTTGTGCACATATATGTCACCACATCTCGTATAAATTCCCACTAGGGGCACATAGAATTTGTCCCAAAGGACCACATATATATCCCGAATGACCACATAGAAATCTCCTTAAGGACCACATATATATTCCAAATGACCAAATATGTGTCTCGAAGAACCGCATATATGTTCCAAAGGATTACATATATGTCCCGAAGGACCACGTATAACCCTCGACTCTTGGCATGCCAACTATACCTCTAGCTCTCTTATCACGTAACATGGGCTATACCATTTATCACAATTCTTATTACTCATATCACATAGACATATAATCTCATAGCTTCTTATCACATATCTCATGTAACATTTTCGTATAGTCTCTGAGCTTATATCACTTTCTCTTCTTATCATATATTCACATAATCAACCAAATCATCATATATACATATACTCATAGAGCTCATATAATTTCTCATGAAATCATTTATATCATATCATATCATATAACTGATACTTTGTTCTATTATGCTCACATATATCATATAATTCTTTAGCTCGTAGCTTATATTAAATGTTCATATAATCCCTTATGTCCATATCATATAACTTATATCATATTCTCATATAATCATATAGATCATTTATACTAGTTCACATAGTTTATCATACAAACATATTTTCACATAGATAATTTAAAATATACAATACATGTAACCCACATACTCATATTCAAGTACTCATGCACTTATATTCAAGTACTCAGGCACACATAATAATCATATTTAACATATACTTATAATCATGAATTCACACATCCTAATAGGAAATAGACTCATCGCAAGTTTGATTTCCATAAAACATCCTATAACAACTAGTATGCACTCACCTGGCTTCACTAGTCAATTCAAGCACTTATAACCCTTTCTTAATCGATCTTATCTCATTGACTCATTAGCTACTTGCTTCCAATCGATATCTACACCATTATACAACTTGTATAAATATTGAAGTTCGAATCATTTATAACTAATCAATATAACTTAGGCTAAAAGAGCCACTTAATTTAGCATTTCAAGCTTAATAGTATCGGTACTCTTACTATAGTATCGATACTATCCTCTTATGGTATCGATACTTCTCTTATGTACCAATACCATTTTGACATTCTATACTCATAACTTGATAATGATATCAATACTAGACACTTGGTATCGATACCCCTTCAACTAGTACCCAGAACTTATTTATTTTACCCGAAAATTTTACCAAACTCACTTAAATATTCTACTATAACATCCTTTTAACCCTTTAGATTAACTATACTTATTCAAATCATCTTATATCCATATAACACATCATCATCTTCAATATCTAATCATAATTCTTGAAACCAAAAATCTTACTAAATTTCCAACATATTCCAATTTCATTTCTAACACTTTAGATTTCTTATTTCAGCTCATGACAAGTCAAATTTCACTTCAAAACTTATTTAATAACTATTTCTCAATGATTCCTTAAAAACTCTTTACCTTATATCTTACATAACTTATTATCTTTGAGTTTTAAGCCACCTTAAGTTTTCCTTAATCTTTCTTAGCACTCCAATAATCAAAACCCACTTTAAAATGGAAGGAAGAATCAACTTGATACCAACTTACCTTTTACCAAGCTCTCACAGGAAGAAGATAGTTGAACCCAACTTTCCAGATTTTTCTTTCTCTTTACCTCCTCAGTCCCCACGTGTATATATAAAACAACTCAATGAATTTTTAATTTATTCTTGTTAAAAGACCTTTTTGCTCTTCCTTCTTTTCCAATCAGTCCTACCCAAAGAAATTACAATTAAGTCCCTAAACTTTTTAATTTTTTGAATTCAAACACAAAGTTTTAGAAACTTACGTTTTAGTCTAGTCTGGTTTTTAGGATGTTACAACTTGATAATTCTCACACAAACAAGTTATAACGGGAATAAATGGTTGGGTTACTAAGGAATCCTAAGTCTTGCCTTTTAGAATGATTCAAGCTTCTATGGTATATTTGCTAGACAGAGTTTACTAAGAGTGTCCCTAAGCTATCTCTAGTAGGGGACATAACAAATAAGGATGCCACAACAATACTTCTATGCGTGAATAGTAGTATAAAACCTATCGAATAAGCACTACTTCTTTTAGTCATTGAAATATTATCCTTATCTCTAAGGTGGATTAGCTTTGGAAAACCGAGTAATAAAGAACTACCAAGTGATATTGAAGGACATACAAATAAAATGTAAGCATAATTTTCCTTTTTAGTTCAGACATCTACAGATTTTTATGTTGAGCTGAGGTCCCACTGATATCTCAGGTAGTAAAAGACATGAAGCTTCAGTTCAGATTAAATGTTCAGAGGACTATGTTCAGGAGATCAGAATAAGGTGTCTAGTGTGTTCCCACAAAAACAGTGAAAATGTACATATCTTTTTAAAACAATAGCAATTTAAAACATACTCTTTAAAACCATAGTAAAACCCTCCAACAGAACACCAATATGCAGTTCCACGGAACTGTATCCATAAGGACTTACCCTAGGCCCAAAGGGCGTAGATGCCAACCTAAGGGAACATATTGGGTTTATAAGGTCTTACCCTAGCCGAAACATAGGTGTCCACCTGAGGGGAGTGCCCTCGGGACCATAAAGACTTACCCAATGCACACCGCAGTGAAGTTACCCTAAGAGAGTGTCTTAGGGTCCATAAGGTCTTACCATTAGGCCCATCAGGCCCAAGAGCCCACCCAAGAATTACTTTAGGTCCATAAGGAATTACCAGCTCGATCGGTCTGAACCTATCTAAGGAATTACCAATTTAATCGAGTTGAACCTGCAGAGACTTCATACCAGATCCCAGAGTACCTCGAAGAAACAATTTTACAGTAACCAGTGGTAATAGGAAATTAGAGTTCAACATATCAATTCAGTAGAAATGGTATCAAGAATCAGAATCACAGACATATTTAAAACTTCAGTAACTCAGAAATCTCAGTAAAACACATTTTAGAATAGATAAAACAATCAATAAAGTAGGGAACACTAGAGGATTTTATTTTCTGAAGGTTCTTGGTATTTATCATATAAGGAGTCATGAACTTCTTTAAACTGATTAAATTTAGAAATGAGATCCTCATAAAAGGGTTTGATAGTTGACAGATTCATCAGTTATTCAGAATGTGATTTATCAGGATCATAGTATTCAATTTTTCAGAGGCAATATGTAATCAGAAAGGTATTAAGAATCCTATGCATCAGAGTTACTTGTGTTTTCAGATATGACAAGAATAATTCCATTATCCAGGAAATCAGAGGCATTTTGGGCATTAGGTTCTTGGAGAATTCTTAGTGATTGGAGCTAATAAGGGAGAAACGAAGATTCATGGCATTTAAGATTTGTGTCGATCTATCGGAATATCGAGTTAACTCGAACTATACAAATCCCAGCAATGATACCTATCAACAGTCAAATCGTTACACTTCAAGGGTATTCACTCTTTAAT